AAAAAAAAGTTGGGAAACCTAAAAATTGATAAGTCCTCTAGACTAGACAACTTTTATCCTATAGTTTTAAAGGAACGTAATTGTTTAAGTTGTGAACCACTAGCTAATATTTTTTATAGGTCCCTGAGTAGTGGAAGATTGAAAGTTGGCTAATGTTAGTCTAATATTTAAAGATGATGAAAAATACTGGGTTCTGGGCTGGGTCCTCTGCTGTTTGTGATTTCTAGTAATGATATTGACTTTGGAATGATTATGAAAATATTTAAGTTTGCAAATGACATTAATATTTTTGGGTGGCTAACTGTATCAAAGATGCAGCAGACTTACAGGGAGATTTAGCTCATTTGATGCATTGGGCCAATATGTGGCAGATGATGTTTAACCATCCAAAAAGTAAGGTAATGCATGTAGGTTTTCAAAATTCAAATTATTGTTATGATTTAAATGGAAATACATTAAATACTGTGGTTGAAGAAATAGATCTTGGTGTTGTTATCGAAAAAAACCACTTAAGTCATCTAAACAGTGTATTGTAGATAGAAATAGGGCTAATAGGATTTTGGGTAGCATCTATAAAAATATTGAATACAAAACAAGGGATATTATTGTTTCACTGTATAGATCACTTGTAAGGTCTCATTTAGAGTACTGTGTACAGTTTTGGGCTCCTTCCCTCATGAAGGTTTGTTTGTTTTTGAATTTCGTGCAAAGCTACACGAGGGCTATCTGCACTAGCAGTCCCTAATTTAGCAGTGTAAGACTAGAGGGAAGGCAGCAAGTCATCACCACCCACCGCCAACTCTTGGGCTACTCTTTTACCAACGAATAGTGGGATTGACCGTCACATTATAACGCCCCCACGGCTGAAAGGGCGAGCATGTTTGGTGTGACAAGGATTCGAACCCGTGACCCCCAGATTGCGAGTTGAGTGCCTTAACCACCTGGCCATGCCGGGCCTCCTCATGAAGGACACAGAATTGTTGGAGAAGGTTCAGAGAATAGCCACTAGGATGATACCTGGGATGGTGGGATTGTCCTATGAGGAGAGACTAAAATCTCTAAACTTATTTTCTCTGGAGAGAAGGGTCAGAGGGCATTTGATTGAGGTGTTTAAGATTACTAAGAGTATTAATAATATAGATCCATCAAACTTTTTTGTGCTTAGCAATTAAAACAATAGGACAAGGGGTCATAAATTCAAATTTTTGTAGCACAGGAGTCATCTGCAGTTTAGACAGTATTACTTTTCAAGCAGGATGATTGGCTTTTGGAATGAACTGCCTTCAAGGATGGTAGTGGCAGAAAATTTAACTGAGTTCAAGAAAAGATTGGATGAATACATGGGTAGTAAGGGGTGGTTATAGTTGGGAGCTGGGAGAGACATCCTTGATGGACTAATAAGCTCCTTTTTGTCCCTTTAAAATTTTATGATTTATGAAAATGTAGGATTTTGAGGTCACTCTTATAGATCATCCCCCAGCAAACACACTACGTATTTACTAAGTAGTGACCCGGTAGTGGTTTGGCAATGTCTGAATAATACATATCACATACGTAGTAATAACATAACTTCATAACTTTGTGCCACTACGTAATAACTTGACATTTTATATACGTAGTCAGAATGTAACTTTACAATGTATGTAGCTAGTGTTATTACATTGCATACGAAAAGCAAAAGAGTGTATCACCTGGCAGTGCAACTTATACGCTATTACATATTCTACATGTAGTATTTCCTTTTGGTGTTTAAATATTAGTTTCATATTTAATGTCACATTCAAATAAAAATATTATAAATCATATAAAATATTATTTTCCATAAGTGTGAAACTACAGGAATGACACGAATAGTTTAATTACACCAAGTCTGAATTAGAATATTTCAACTGTCCAGCATTCTTGACCAGCAACTTTAAATCTCCAAAACACTTCATCATCCAAAGGTATGTAATGACAAGATATGCTTCCTAACATCCATACAGAGTTTGTAGAAAGTTTAAGATGACTAACTAAAAAAAGGAGCACGAAAGCATTCTTGACAGTGTCAGAGGGAATAATGATGGTGTTAATGTTGAATGCTCAATATTCATGTTGATTTATTAGAAAGGTTTGGGTTTTTATTTTTTTTTTATAATTTCAGTGATATAACAGCAAAACAGTTTAATTCAGAAGTTTTATGGCACTGAGTTGTAGCCAAATACAAAATAAAATTTACCAAGTAGTTTTTCAGCTAAGCCTTACGTTAAATTTATGTATTAGGCCTAATGCTGAGACTTCAAATAGGCCTACTATTACTTCAATAATTGGGTTTCCACAATAAACAACATTTATATACATTTCTATCACCACTAATGATATGGTATTGATCTATCACGTGATTGTTTTTTTATATATTTCAGGGGTAGAATCTGTGACAGCTTGTAAGTTGTAACCACTCCAATGGGGGATAATGAAGGAAGAAAGAGCAGCTTCACTGACAGTAAGTAAAATAGTAAAGTTAACATAAATAGACCTTTTAACCAAACAAACCCTTATGGAACCAATTAAAGAAAAATTCTCAAAGCTTTACAAAAATAAATCAGCACACATCAATATAAAATGATTATTGCTTTACACTAGTATTTTTAAGGTTCCAATACTTATATATATATTTGCCCAATATTCAGATTGCTGTGCTCAATAAAATAAACTTCTATATAATGCAATTAAAAGTTGTGGCACCAGGGTGTCAGAGTTAGTAACCCAGCTCAATTCTTGGTGGCCTGGGGTGACCAGATCACCAGTTAAGGGCTGCACTGCTTTTATCTGCATGCAATATTATGTTAATTTGGTAGCTACTGTTCTATTAGATTACCAGTGGCAAGTATTAATGAAGCTGGATGAAATCATCACCAGCCAAAAAAAACCACACAGAACTTCTCCAATAACTTGCCAGTAAAGGGAGAGTGGTTTCACAAGCCCAGCCACAAGAGGTGGAAGTAGTGGAGGAACCAATGGATACATGGGAAGACCTGGACCAAATCTGTACCAAGCTATCAGAAAACCCAGGCCAGAGAAAAACTGGTAAGTCCTATAATTAATAGTTTTTTTTCATTGATACTTATTATCATGCATATAAACAGTTTAGACATATCAAATGTATGCAAATTTGTAAATGTAATCAATCATCCACCTGATCAAATGATGTAACAATTTTTCAGGTTGCTATCCCCTGTGTGCCTTGGGAGGGAACAATTTTGGGGATTCTGTACGAAGAATGTTTAACAAGATGGGGCCTTTCCACCTGTGGTCCGGCTTCAACATCAAAGGCACGAAGAACAAGAAAGGATTCCAATACTTTTCACTGTACAAAATAATTATCAGTATGTGTATCTGGATATTTTCAGCTGTAATCGATTATTATTTTGGTACAGTAAGCATGGTAAAAACCAACTGTGTAATTATAAAAAAGAAAATTATCCATTTTACACAGCTTTGTGAAAATAAGCCCAGTAGTAGACTGACTGTGCAATGAAAGCAATAATATTCAGAAAGGGTCAGATAGGTAACAAGGAACAAGCCTGTTTATAAGATATCAATAACACACAAAGTTTGTATTAGATGATGTACTTTAATACCTCATTACCACATTTATAAGTCCTATTATTTTCTTAAATTTGTCCAGTGTTATAAAAGGTAAAATCCTAGCTTTGTTAAGTTTGAAAATGTTATTGTAAGTTGCAATAATGAACTTTTTAATGATTTAATAGAAGCGTGTAAACAAATTCACCCCAAATACCAGGATGCTGAGGTTGAGCTACAGCTGGCATAAACTTTTAAGCATGCACCGAACAAGTGTTTGTTTATTTGTTTATTTTGAATTTCTTGCAAAGCTACACAAGGGCTATCTGCGCTAGCCATCCCTAATTTAGCAGTGTAAGACTAGAGGGAACGCAGCTAGTCATCACCACCCACCGCCAAATCTTGGACTACTCTTTTACCAATGAATAGTGGGATTGACAGTCACATTATAACGCCCCCACGGCTGAAAGGGTGAGCATGTTTGGTGGGACGGGGATTGAACAAGTGTGATGGATACCTGTTCCTAGTAAATATATTGACAAATAAAGTGATGCACTTGTATTAGTCAAAACTTTTAACTGATATATATACACAATAAAATACAGCAGTTAAAATATACAGAATATAATATAGTCAAATTTGAAATGCATTCAAGACAAAAGAAAAATAGAGAATACAATGACATCACTGCTCAGTCATGTACCAACTTTATCTGAGCTTCATATTGCATGAAACAAAATATTCATTTTTGGAATAAATTTAGGTGCAACTTTATTTGTATAGCAGGTGTTTATAATGATTAATTTAATCAACACTATTTCAGCATATAATAATATTATAGTCATTGGCAGAAAGATGAGAATACAAATCTCAGACCTTTTGATTTCTGATTTTATTGGTAGCTATATTGGTCTGTCAAATCGAACTGGTCTTTTATACTTACAGACATGCACTGCTTTGATATCTCCCGGAACACCCACACTAATACAGTCTAATCCAGATGAAAAGACTATATTAGAATTATAGAGATGAAAATTGTATAATTGGTTTTTATAATTGAAACATTGTATCAAAAATGTGTATAATTTGTTTTTGTAATTTTTAACATTGTATCAAAAATACGTATCAGATCTAGTTCACAAAAACAAAATTCTCTCTTACCTAAAACCATAGTAGTGTTAAAAATACAACTGAATTATGCTACACACTGTATGAAAGAAAATAATTTTAATACCTTTTCCTTTGTTGGTTCAAAAAGGAGAATTTTGTATAAACAGCATTAATTAATACTATTTACCTTGGGGAGGATTTAAGAGAGGAGGATTAAGGCAGTACATGTGATATCCTCGGTCACAGTCATCACAAAACAGCAACTGGTCCTATTGAAGAAAATATTGTTCTGTTCTAGTACAAGGCTTGATCCAACTTTGGGAAAAAAATACTCTACAAAACACTAATCAAGATATATGAAACATATTTGTATACTTATGTAATTTATGTAAATACTTTAATATAATGCTTGGGGTACTGACATCTGCATGAGGGTAAGATGAGGACCACTCCAATTCCTGGGGATTACACAGGATTGGCTCTGAGCTACAGATCCAAGAATTTTGCATTTGCTATCAAAAGGAAGTCTATAGCATGCAACCAGCTCCCGCGACCACTAAAAAGCTCACAGCTTAAAAACAAAAGATAAAATTTTCCTATACTGAAAATGTATTTCCGATAGATACTTCCCTCCGCTCAGAAGAGTAGCTATTCTCATTCATTGCTGCCCTCTATATGCAAACTTTTTTTATTACGCATGCCACAAGCCTTCTGCACCCCCTATTGGAATCAAATGATTCCAACGTGTCTCTCATGCAAAACATCATGAGTAACTTCTCCACCAATAGAAGAATAGTACACTCACATGATGCATGTGACTCCCTCTATGCACCTCTACCAAACTATCACTTCAAAGTTTGATAGACGACAGAACCACCAAAAATGACTGGGGAGGAAGAGTGAGTGGAGGGAAGTATCTATTGGAAATACATTTTAAGTATAAAAAAGTATAACTTCTGATACAGTACTTCCCTCCTCTCACAAGATTAGCTAGAATCCAACATTGATTAGGAGGAAAGACTGGTATGAGCAAAGAACAAACGAACCCCCCCCCCCCCCGAAAGCATCAGAGAGAGTCAGATCCAAAGAGGGGAACCACACCACTTCTGATCCAGGTACACTCTTTGCCCATATGTGGAATGTGTAAGAAGTTATGGTGGAAAATGAGAGGAGCACATCCAAGTTGGAGAGATTGCAGTAGGAAAGTGATCCTAACTGGAGAAAGATGTAGTAACTCAAGAAAAGTGGGGTGTGGCAGACCATACTCGGTAAGTCAACTACATCCAGAACCTCCTCGTGGGGTACTGACATCTGCATGAGGTTAAGATGAGGACCACTCCAATTCCTGGGGACTACACAGGATTGGCTCTGAGCTACAGATCCAAGAATTTTGCATTTGGTATTAAAAGGAAGTCTATCGCATGCAACCAACTCCTGCGACCACTAAAAAACTTGAGACCATCCTCGTGTTCAGAGATTGAGGGTGCAGATAGGTTGTGACAAACTGACAATTCCACAGAATGGAGTCAGAGAAGAGAAAGTTGGGCCTGACTGAAGCAAGTGTTGAAAAATACACCCAAATGCACAAGATATTGGATAGGATCTGGAAGGACTTTTCTAAATTGATCAATCAGCCCACCCAAGCAGCTTTGAGAAGGAGCTGATGAGTATGACTGACTGACTCCTGTTTGGAATGAGCCAGAAATAGCTGGTCACCCATGTAAAAATGGAAACACAGTCCCAGGACATGAAGATAAAGAGCAAAAGCTCTCACTACTCGAAAGAGAGCAGAAGCCAGCCAGAAGTGTAGGGTGCAAAATTCGTACACCAGCCCTCAAGGGACAAACTGAAGATAAGGATGAGATCGACCCAAGATGGGAATATGCAGATAAACATTGGAGACATCAATCTGGGTCATCCAGAGACCCGAAGAAAATGCTAACCAAAGAGTGAGGTAGGATTCCATGGTGTAATGTGGGAGGTGAACAAATCGATTGAGGTGGGACAAATCAATGACAGGAGACCAGTCTCTGATCGTTTTGAGAACAACAAACAGATAGGAGTAAAACCCGGTGAATGATGTGGAACAGGTTCAATAGCCAAAGAGGACAAAGAAGCCAACATGGAGGTAAGGAGGGAGAGAATATCCCAGAAAATCCCTCACGATTTCTGTGAAGAGCCCCAGACAGGGGATGGATCATGGAAAGGTACTGCAAAAGTCATGAGAGTAAGATGGAGGCAGGAAAATTGGGCATGGCTGAGACTAACAGGAGATTCAGGATCCACCCTCCACACAGGTAGAACTGCACCCAACAGTTGTTGGTTGAGATATGAACAGTTAGCCCTATAATATGCAAGGGCAGGCTGATCCGAGGTCCATGTTGGATGAGGCAAACTAATGCCATCACCCAACTGAGAGGTGAATTGTTCAGTAGGAATCTGAACGTCGGGGGAAGGGTTGGGAAATATGTTTATGCAATAATTAAGGATGTGGGTCATAAGATATGGGAGCAATGGATAAAACATCACATACCTGAGAAATAAAGTCCGAAAAAACCGTGGAAGGCTGAACAGAATCCTCAGGAAGGTTATGGAAAGTAGGGGAAAACAGGCAAAGTCCTCATCAGCTTGCCCAGGTTCAATAGATTCAGGAGAAAGAGGGGCAATTACTGGAAATATAGGTTGACCCATATAATGTTCAATATTCCTGCAAATCTCACGATGGGTTGCCTGCACCTGAAACCTGTGGTAAAGCACCTTTCGAATGTGACACACCCGAAGCGGTGACATGAGCTTTGGAATTCATGTTGCATCAGTTGACAAAAGCATTTGAAGTAAGAAATAAATGCAACTAGAACATGGGTAATTGAACCTGAAAGCTTTAAAAAAAACTGAAATTCAACCACTTCAAGAACTAATTCAATCCCAAACACTAATCAAGATTAAAATAGAAAGACGTCCAAGTGCAATCACTGCCAAACGAGAAGTGATAGTTTGGTAGAGGTGCATAGAGGGAGTCACATGTTTCACACGAGTGTACTATTCTCCTATTGGTGGAGAAATGATGCATGATGATTTGCATGAGAGACATGTTGGAATCATTTGATTCCAATAGGGGTGTGCAGAAAAGTATGCCATGCGTAAATAAAAAAGTTTGCATATAGAGGGCAGCAATGAACGAGAATAGCTAACCTTGTGAGAGGAGGGAAGTACCATATCAGAAATATGGTTTTGAAAGAGGATAAACAGGTAATCCCAGCTCCTTGTCATCTATTTATCTGAAGGTATCTCATATAACAACACCCAATAGTTCAACACTATTACAGGATTTACTATTCATCCTACTAGCAACAGAATAATGAGTATTTTACAGCTTTGTATAGAGTCATATTTTCTACAATATCTACTATACAATCACACCAAGGTATCTTCCAAATAAACCCACAAGAACCACAATAATGTCATGGTATGTTCTTAATACACCTACTAGTAGCAAAATCATGTCATGTTCTCACTAGAACCCAATAATGTCATGGTATGTTCCCAATACACCTACTAGTAGCACAATCACATTAAGGTATGTTCCTAATACACCTACTAGTAGAACAATAATATCATAGTATCTTCCTCCTATACCTACATCACAGCGCAACATATCATAGCATCTACTAGTAACACAATAATATAATAGTATCTTCCTGCTAACTTCATTAGTAGCACAATCTGATCATTCTATCTTCCTACAACACCCACTAGCACCAAAATCATTTCAAGGTATCTTTCTGCTACACTCACGAGTAGCACAATCATATCACCGTATCTTCATACAACACCCACTAGTAGCAAAATCATGTGAAGGTATCTTCCTGCTACACCTACTAATAACAATATCATATCATGATATCTTCCTGCTATAACTATTTGTAGCACAATCATATCACAGTATCGTCCTATACGTACTAGTAGCAAACATCGTATCAGGGTATCTTCCTACTATACTTACTAGTAGCACTATCATATCATGTTATCTTCCTGCTATACCTATTACAAGCAAAATCATTTCAAGGTATTGTCCTGCTACAGTCACTAGTAGGATAATCATATCATATCTTCCTACTACACCTACTAGTAGCACTATCATATCAGTATTTTTTTTACTACATCTACTGATAGCAATATGATTTCATGTTGTCTTTCTGCCATACCAACTGGCTAGTAGGAATATCATATCATAATATATTTCTGCTACACTCAATAGTAGCACAATCAAATCATAGTATCTTCATACTACATCTATTAGTAGCAACATCATATCCTGGTGTCTTCCTGCTATATCTAATAGAAGCAAAATTATGCCATTGTATTTTCATAGTACACCCACTAGTAGCACAATCAAGTGGGGGTATCTTCTTGCTACGCTTACTAGTGGCAAAATCATATCATATTATCTATATATTATACCTACTAGTAGTAAAATGATCTATCTTCCTGCTACACCTACTAGTAGCATAATCATGTCATTGTATCTTCTACATCTTGTAATTTATACCCTATCTGTTCATGTTGTGTAGAACAATGTTTTACATATGATTCAATCTGAGCATCTATTAATAACCACTGTCATTAACTGCCCCAATGAAGAGTACAGTCACAAAAATGTTGGAAAAAAAACAATAGTTACCTTCACAGCTGGCAACAATATCAATAATTATGATAAAATGTGCAATACCAGTTTGATTAATCTTTATGTTAAATTCTGAGAGTAAAATCTGTTAAACAAGTACTTACATCGTTATCTGAAGTACCACATAAACCACAAGACTTGCATTCGATACACTGCCAACGATAGTTTTTCACAGCTGCAGTCATGATGGGGGTAAACTGCAGACATGTGGGATGAGCTAATGATTAAATCAAACCATTAAGTCATTTAACTGAAGAAAAAAATTCCAACAAAAGTTTCTGTTCTTCATATTTTGAAATTAATGCCCCTGTGATATATTAAGGAATTATGAAAACAAGAAAATAACTCTGATAGCACTTGTACAGGCAAAAAAAATATATATTGTTAGTACTTTTTGACATATATACAAAAAAAAAGAATTCTGATAACTGTTATATATACTAAAATGAATGGTCATACTTGTTGCTGTTATGTATACAAAAAAGAATCCTGATAATACTTTTTACCTACACAAAAACAACCCTAGATACAGTGACTGATTTTCTTTATAATTTACTAAATAACACAGATGAACAAATTGTTCTGAACTAATCTACTGATGCAAACTGTGGCCACCATAAAATTACTACAACAGTATACATACAAACACAGATAACTTATACATAAACATGTTCTCACTAGGATTACATTACATTGTCTCGCATGAACAAATTAGTAATTTCCATAATTTCACGAGAATGTACATGTCTATCTACAAGTAAATTAGCTTTCTAAAAATCTAGTCTGCCAAGTTTAAAGTTATAATGTTCTTAATTCAAAATTCTTGCTTGTGACAAACTATTGACATCATAAATACAGTGCTATGAATTAAGTTTCTATTTGGAAAATGAACCATATCAATCAAATTCCTCATCTACTGTGCTTATCCTATCCCCCCCTTTTTTTCAAGTATAAATTTCTTTGAGAAATAAACATCATCAAATATCCAACTGCACAGCATGAAAACAAAGAATATGCCTTGTCCAAAATGTCCATACACGAATACGGAATATAATAAAATCGCCGATTATCTTATTCACCTGAACAAATGACTTTTTTTAAACATCACAGTCTAAGCTTTCAATGTTGATATGTAACAACTTATCTCTACAAGGACCTTATCTAATAATTGAACCACTTAAATTCTAACTTTACAATGTCTAATATATCCTTTAATCACACCTCGTGTGAACTCTTTCCTTCATATTTCCCTGACATGAACCTCCAACATATAGTCAACAAACCCAGCATAACTGATGCTTCTTGAAGTATCATTCTTATCAACAGAAGAAATACAGGGAAGATGGGAGGATAGGTATCCATTTAAACAAACCTGAAGTGAGAGAGAGCGGTGCCCATCACATGTAAAGAAAAGAAGCTTGGGTTTCAAATGGCTCTCATCATGTGTGGGTCAAGAGCTTTATAAACTGATATTTGCACATAATACATGCAGAAATATATTAAGAGGGTTTAGTTGTTTGGATCATTCCTTATAGTTAAGAAGATTTCATTAAACCTAATGTAATAAGTTTTCTGTATTTATTAATCCTAATGTAATAAACTTTCTGTATCTATTTTTACCCACTTTTACAGTTCTTTTCAGTAATTTTCTGTATCCTTTTAAGCAGTTACTTAGAACATTAAGGCTTACTGCAAACAAGGTCTAACACAGCACCCTTGTCAGCAAAATGAAACTTTTAGGGCAAGATGGCATAACAAAGCCTATCTAAACTTGTTCCACAAACAAAATTTATTTTCCTACCATGTTCATGCTGTATCCCAGATGGGCTGATGATACCTGGTACTGGGCAAAAATCCTCATCAGTACTCCATATTATAACTGATATATGGTTGACACATTGTGATACATTCTTCTTCACTTTCACCCATAAGTTCTTAAAAATACTTTAAAATTATACATCAAATGAATAATAAACTAATAAAGGTTTAAATGAAATCAAGACTGTAACTGTAGTATAATTTGTCCACTGACACCTTTTCTTCTAGAATTGTATAACCACTTATCACTTTTTTCTGATCTTTACCTGAATTTCACTGTATTGGAAGCCTTACTGGCTTTTAAAGTTGAAAAGAATGGAAGAAAGAGCTTTCATGAGGTGTTTAGACCAACAGCCTATGGTTTCTTGAAGCTCACATGTGCAATTACATCACACTGTGACAACCAAGACTGAGAATCAGCAATTAGCTAAAAATTGATATTAAGTACAGTTTTACTATAGTTATTATGACAAATTAGCACTATTTTGTTCAAAACTTTATGACTTTCCTTCCAGGGGGCTAAGAATATCATAGTAATTTATACTCAGAAATAATTAAGGATATTCACAAACACCAATCACTTCATTAGGAGATTGCCAAAATCAACTTAAAATAAAAATCTGCAAATTTTTAAATTTATTCCAAGATACAAGATTAAATAATCTTTTGTACAAAATCAAACACTCTTTTAATGTTTAAAAAATCAACTAAAAGTTTATTTTCTACAATTTTTTTTTAATTCTATGTAACTTCACCCTCGAGGCTAAGTGCAACAAAATCAATTCCATGAATTACTTTTCAAACTTTTTGGGTAAAGAAATAGTATAACAATTTATAGATACTTAGGATACTTATAAATATTTGGAAGTAGATTAACAATATACAATTGCTGCAGGGTTGTAATCCACTGTCACTATTGACAAAGCATGAGCATGTGGCACACACTAGCCACAGCAGTGGATATGATTTCATCAACATCATATCCAACATGATTAAAAAAAAAAGACATCCTAAAACATATTGGGTCAGCTAAATTCTACACCCTAGAGACTGACAAACCTACAGATATCAATGTCTGTTAAAACATCATGATATATTTCAGAGCTGTCATCAATGAAAGGGTTGAATCCCGTTTTTTAACTCTGACCTAACTGGAAAATAGCTGTAGTTTTCAGACTTTGTATAACAGTTTATGTGACACTTTAACCACAAAAAAAGATTACTTTGATAATCTTTTAACACTCTTGGCACTGATGGTACCAGTGTTATTAATCTGTACATTTTCATTCACATTAGTTTGGCTTTTTTTTTAATAATTTTTAAATTACTTTGATTTCATATGGTGGGCCTCTTCTTGAGGTTGCCAATTTTCCATTGTGTCAAAAAAAACACATCTTTGTCTAAAATTATATTTTGCTACAACTTTGGACAGATCCTACATGACAAATGATTTGTTAATTGTCACTAAATACCACAACGTGGTCACGATTATGTTCATTTTTGAACAATGCTGTAATTCCTCATTGATCTTCTGAAAATCATATAAATTGATAATTAAATACAGAAAATATATCATGACTGCAATTAGAAATAATTAAGTAGTCAATTTTATTTATGTATGTTGTTTGGATAGGATAAGAGATAACATTCAACAGAGATCTGAGTCACTAGAATATTTTGTAATTGCCTACCATACTCATTAAACTTAACTGATTTGATGACGATTTGTTTACTTGAACGTAATTAAACAAAAAACTTGTGTTTATAAACATTGCAATTCAATAAAACTATAGCATATCTTCAAAAAGTAAAAGCACCATATCCAAACAAAGAACCAAACATTAACAAGATACCTTTATTATGCTTTAAGCAATATCCAGTCATGTGACTTCTTTGTTTAAAACTGTATAAATATTCCTTTGTCTATTTGTTTATTTTAGAGCAAAGCAACATTAGGCTATCTGCTGTGTCTGCTGTAGGAAATCTAACTTCGGCTGTCCTACTGGGGAGACTTCCTTTGTCTACGTAAACTACTTGTACCTGATGACAACAAAACCTTCTCCAAACATTGTATATTTGTTACTGTGTTAACTTGTAATAGTTTTCTTTATTATACATTCAACCTGACCTGTCTCAACTATATAAGCTTACTTTATCTCAGATTACCTCATGTCATCTCATTGAAAAAAATTTCTGTAGCTTTCAAACAGATATAATTTAATACACAAATACTTTTCAAATACAATTCACAACAAAAAAAAACCTTAACAGAAACTACAAAAACTATTAAACTTATATATCTACTCTGTCAATATGTTGTAGTTTAATTCTTGCTCCATCAAATCATATTTAAGCTTTCTTTAAAGCTGTTTCCAAACATGTGTTTCATTAGTAAATGGCACCATAACAAAGTTTCAAAATAGGCCTGTACAAAAACTAAGGAAAACCTTGAGAATTTATTTTGTATTTCAGTCTCCGAGTCAATTCTTTATTCTAACTGTAAACCTCCTCGAATTAGTTACTTCTGTACTCCACTCAAAACTGCATAACCTAGATTTAAATAAATTCATTTATAACTGGTGTTAAAATCAAACTGCAAATAAATATCCCACCGTCCTTCCATTACACCCTTTTGTCAAATCCAGCAAAATTTTATTGGCAATATATTACCCTCCTCTAAGCAAGTAAGATAAAAGTGGCAATCACAGAAGGTCTTCAACAACATTCAGGGACAGTGAGACTGCTGGAACACAAAGTACCATCTAGTGTAGCTAAGATAAGCAAAGAAATCAACAGAACAGTATGAAACCAGAAGCAACTGGTAACATCAGCAAAGGAACTGTCTTCTATCTTCTGTGAGGCAGCTAATCTTCACAAAATGGGTAAGAGTCTGGCAGCTCAACTCCTGGAATTGTCACCTAGCACTCAACTATAAAGACTTACACCATCTATTGACCACAACCATAATTACGTACTAAAACCTCTATGCAAAACCAATTGTTTATAAAGGCATTTTGTATTTTCCCAAATATTATTTTAACCCTATATGAATGGGAGTGGCTCTTCTGCACATGTTACATTCAAAAGATAATAACCTTGGTATCAATGTATGTCAATAAACCTGGCACATAAACAAGTTAGAATTTAAATTTCAATATTTATATTATCTAAGTTTTAAAACATCTTAATTTCAAAAGGAAACATTTAAAAAATTCTAAGTCTTCATTTTTCTGTCAAGTGACACATCTGAGCTCCAATTTCTCCATTTCAAAATTAGGCTACAGCAATTTCCATCAACTTAGAAAAACAAACTATACATAACTACGTGTAGTAATCTAAAATTACACTTATCTTCTTGATATTTGCTAAGATATCAATACAGTTGTCAAACCCATCAAAGAAGCCCATCTCCACTTTCTATCTTTGGAGATTGTTTGCTAATCAACTTTACATGGCCAATGAAAATGTTTATAACTAAGAGAAAGAACAAATTCTTCTCTTACTACTGTTGTTTCAGTTTTGACAGAGAGAAGAATCAGTAAACAAAAACTTCTTTGTTTTTGAGACATTCTATTATAGTTAAAGATAATTTTTTGTGTTCTGAGATGCATATTTGGAATCTACATTAGTTATTTTTTAACATTAAGTTTGTGAGACTCAACTAGTTTTAGGAAAAGATGAATTTGAGTGCAAAATATGCAAGTACTACAAATGCTTACTTTTTATGTGTATTTTTGTTGCTATATATTTTTTGACAAAACTAATCAAAATGTAAAAAATTATAAACTTCTCTGTCTAGCCTAAGAAAACTTCAGTAAAATAAAACTCTGACAAATCTTTTGTTGAAATACTTTACACTAATAAATATGATTTTTGTGCATAACAAATTTTTAAAGTTTACTAAAAGCTTGCTAAATTTTGTGATGATATACTTAGCAAATTCAGAGATCTGGTATGTATTATCTACACAGTTCTGGGGAATCAGTCTAATGGACTGATCCACTTGCAAGGCATTAATACACATTTTTACTTTAACAGTAAAGAAAATGATATTTACAGAAGAAAAGACAATGTAAAAAAATGTAAATTTAAAATTTCATTTGGGAAGGATAACTTAATTACACTTGGATGCTTCAATCATAACTGTTTTTGAAAATTCTACTATCAATACTGAAAAGAAAAAATGTTAATTAGTAAAGTATAAAACTCTTTTATATAAGTATAAAGAAGAAATACAAAAAATATAGCCTTATAAGCCATGCAATTCTTAGAAATATACAGAATTCTCAACTGCTTAATATGAGAAATGAATAAATTTCAATGGGAGATTCCAGCTGAACAAAATACTACCACCACAGTAAATCAAAGTTTTCCTGAAAAAAATGGAAAATGAGACAGAACATGATCCAAACCTGTAATTATAATTTGACACATACTTCAGCCAATTAAGCTATTTCATGTCAAATGCCACAAATCTGTTTTTGCTTAATGGTCTCGATTTTGACTTCTTCAAAAAATTGTAATTTACAGGATGGTGTACTATCCTTGAAAAAAATATCTGCAAATGACAACTGAATTTGCTTCACGAGCTCATGCTAATACAACATATTGCATTCATTTCAATCTCAAAAAAATGACCAATTAACATACAATCTGAACTGTTAACAAACTGTACCAGTGAGGCTAATCAACTACTTACCAGAACGGCCACAATCTGCACATGACACCAATTCCTCTGCCAATCTGGTTTTCTTGTTTTCACTGCTATCCCCCACACAGAAGTCACAGTAAGGGCTAGGAGATGCCAGTGGCTTGTCAGATATATTTTTCTGAGCTACCCAAGAGCCAGGGGAAAAAATTGTAAAAAAGCTTGTCTATAATATACAACAAAATACTTACAACTTTATTTAAAACAATTACAGAATAAATAAAATGACAATGACCCAGAAAGTTGAGTGCTGTTAAAAAATGGTCTCATCCCTTTAAGAAAATTTTAAAAGTTCTAATAGTAAATTCTGCCTTTTTTCTCTTGGTCAAGAAGAGAGTATTCTTCAAAAGCATTAGGCTCAAACTTCTGCATCATCATTTGGATTTTAACAGTCATTTTCTAATTATCCATCTAGAACACTAGCACAACTCAAACAATACTTTATGAAGACATGAATATTTTAGGGTATAAAAAACCAAAATAACCACTGAAAAAAAACTTCTACAACTCTTAAACACAGTAAATGTCTTTTGGTTATCATTATCACCAGTACTGTATAAGTTAATCAAAGATAATGACATAGAATACTCCACTTGCTACTTCAACAACAAAACCATATCATAATTATTTACTTGTAAAGAACATCTAATTTATCAAAACTTCATTTTTCGTTTTAGATGTATACAACTATATTTGTTGTACCAGTTTTTAAACGTAATTACTGCAGGAGCTCAAAGGCCTAGGGTAATCTTTAATCCATGGAAGGAAATGCCACAATGGCTGTAACTGAATGACATTTCAAACAATAGAGCCTGGTAATTTTTATATTGAAATGTTTGTTATAGTAAAATATGATACTTTCATCAGTGTGTACTAAACACTTTCCTAGGAGTAAAGACTTGCTCAATTAAAATTATTTTACTCAGTTTGTAATATTTAATAATCAGGAATTGTATATAGTATACATGCTTGGTTTTATGTATAATCAGCATGTGTTGGTGACAGGTTGGATTGTTTCTTTAAAAATACAACTTATTTAATTAGAAGGAATGCTTTTCTTCCATGTCAAAATGCAGTAAAACATTGTGATAGCACAGAAAAATATGTTTTCAAGAAGTCAAACCTATAAAACCTGGTGGCTTCAGGTGGTAGTTCAATTTTAAATTTTATATTGAATAAGTAAATAGTAATTTTAAAAACATACTTTTTAATTTTGATCACACTTTATGACATTAATTTTAACATGTTTTGATGTGAAATTTCAATCTTGTATTTAAACTAATTCATTGGAGTTATTGAAAGTTTTAACTTAAGAAAATTATTTTAATATGGTCACAAGATATCATAGCATGCACTGAACTCTGAAATTTGATATTGTTTTTATTTTTTATTTTTACACTACAACAAATATTCCCCAATTTTTTAGCAGGAGGCCACCAATGATCTTAAATACCCTGGCTGAGGACCTCCAACTAATGGTTTACTAGAAATTTTAAATAATAACCACTCTGAAGTACCTTATTGTCATTGCAATTTGTTTTTTGAAAAAAAACACCTCAAGCATAAACATACTTATTGCAATAAATAAAAGTATCACTGAAAATATTGCTTTGTCCAGGGTCACAAGTTTTAAAGAGAGTACTTCTAAATGAATTAGAATTACACTACACTAGGAAACAAATGGTGATACTGCCAAATATAGTTTTATTATGAATATCTTAATTAAATATTTCACTTTTTTTTCCCATAAATTAAATTTAATGAACTTTGGTACAATGATTAAAAGTACTAAAGAAGAATGAAATGATTCCTTGTTAAGAACTTATCTAACCAAGTTATCCACAAAACTACAGTAATCAACATTTCAAACTCAAGAAAGGTATCACAACAAGAAGTTTTAGAAACAAATACACTACATACTTGTATAAACTAAGTGTATATAAAAACAAATACACTACATACTTGCATAACCTTAGTGCATATATAAA